GGTTCACTGACTGAGGAAAAGAAACAGCTCCCATTTTTAAGCAAATATATCTCAGGGACTGCAAGTATGTACAGATTCTCACTTAAGAAATGCATATAGCAAATTCTGACCACCTTGTTTGCTTATCATGTCATTGTTTCATGGGGAAGCTAAGCCATGGATCTATTAATGGTTGCTGCAGAAAATGTGAGCTGAGATCTTTTTGTGAATATGGCCTTGCATTTCCATTGTTTAGCCAAAATGGAGAGTAACATCGGAGTTTGGGGCTCAAATACCCCGAACCTGTAGCTATTGATGATGCATACTGCTAAGTGGCACATTTTGCTGATAAGTAAATAACTTTTTTCTCTTTTAATTGGTAGCTGAAGAAGCATTAGATGAATGGTACAGTGGCAGTGAAGATTCAGAAGAGAATGGCAGCTTAGGCACTAAACCAAAGGAGAAGCCCAGCAGTGCTGGCAGTGACCAGGAGGATGACTTGGAAGATGATGAAGAGACAGATCTGTCTGTCACGGCCAAGGCACCAAAGTTCAGTTGCCATAATATCACAGACTTTGACAAATTTACAGAGGGGATGGATGATGTAGGAAGCAGTGAGGGAGAAGATGAAGATCATGCCAGTGTGGAAGAAGGAAGTGATGAGGAGGAATATGGGAGTGAAAATCATGACAATGTAAAGGAAATCAAAGACAATGAAGACGATGGGGGTGTGATGACATTCTCAAAAGGGCAAGAGGCTGAAGAAGTAGAAAAAGGAAAAGCTGTGAAGAACCAGCTAGGTTTGTGTATATTTGTTTTGTATTTTGACAAGAATTTCATCTTGCTGACACTATAGCAACTGGCCATGTTAGGAACAACTTCAGCGTGTTAACATGCTGTTAGCATACTGCATGTGCATGCTACAGCAGCCCTAGCGATTTGCAAATGTTCTGCCAAAACTGTTATGCAAAATGGTGTCACTGCTGATACAAAATCTCGTGTTATGAAGTGTATTTATCCACTGGCTTGATTGAATCGGTACTGAATATACTTGTAGTATTGGTGGGGTGGGGACTTCCTACACTGGTACTGCTGTGCAGTGATGCTGCTACCACTTCTGTTTCTTTTCAAAATGTAATACCAAATGCAATTTCTTCTATCTGTCCTCTTAGCAAACTTCTATTTGCAGAATGTCCTTTTAAACGGTAAAACAAAGGAATTATTTTTTTTTGTGGGTCACAGAATTGTAGTCAAGATCATAGGATGGGATGCTGCTTTGTCCAGAGGCACCTTGTGGTACCAGTTTTGTGGTGGGCCAGTGAATGCAAAGATTTGCCCTAGCCAGGAGTAATGTAGCCCAAAGGAGAGGGCCTGTGCTGTTAAATCAACAGCTCCTTAATGAGGAGCAAGTGCTTTGGCTTGCTAAATAATTGTTTTATTCTCTCCTGGTTATGAAGCACTGTGGGATCAACTGTTGGAAGGGAGAATCAAGATGCAGAAGGCCCTCGTAACAGTCAACCGGCTTCCACAGCCAGATACTTACCCAATCTTCAGAAAGGAAGGTGGACAAGAATTTGACAATGCTGTCGAGAACTGTAAGAATTTTTCAATCTTTCTACTTTGAGTAGACTCTGCTGTAGCCAGTATGTTTTGCCGGTGTGGGGAAGTGTTAATGGGAAAGTGAGGGCTTTGAGTTGCATGTGCCTGTAGTATTAGCTGTTAGTTTGTATTGCCTTAATCATTACTTAGGTACTGTGCAAACAGAAACCAAAAAGAGTTTCTTACCCCAGACAAAGAAAATGTCTCCTATCACCCTATACCTAGGTGATCTCTGCTGGGGGCCTGTTGTCACTTACCTGATGTTGGTGAGCCTCAGCTTGGGTCCTGCTGCTTTTTATAGTTCATGACAGGAAGTTTGCGTATCAATTTAAGTTTCGTGCTGGATCTTAGAAATAATTGGCTTGGTTATTGCTGTTCAGTGCAGAGGTGGGATGCTTCTTTGTCCAGAGACACCTTGTGGTACCAGTTCTGTGCTGGGTCAGTGAATGTAAAGATTTGCCTTAACCGGGAGTAATGTAGCCCAAAGGAGAGAGCCTGTGCTGTTAAGTCAACAGCAAATATCTTTTCAGCCTGGAGCTGCTTCATCTGTTTATTTTTTAAGATCACTTTTAATAAATAATGATCTCATAAGATTTGTAGTAGATTCTCCAATATGGTAAATATAATGTGCACACTCCAGCTCCTAAGAGCTAAGTGCTCAAATTCAGTGTGTTGTGAATCTATTTAATTTTTAGAATTGGACACCTTTTTTTTACTGGCCTTAAGGTAAATGCAGAGGGAAATAAAATGTCTGGTATGTTATCCTTAGGAATAAATATAAAGTACTGCAGATACCAGTTGGTGTCCATTTCTCCCTCACATTTGTTATTTTCTGTCAAAAATCATACAGATTGTTCTTTTGTGCCCACTGATCCCACTAATCAGAAACTAATGAACTTCATAGGATATTTTTCTAGTGATTTTGAATAATGAAGATAAGCCCAGTAGCATTTTAAAGCTTTCCAGGTTGGTTATCCCTTTCACTTCTATTTCTTCTTTCCCAATCTTGAGATACTGCTCACTTTGCAGAACGGTTCAGCTCTGTAGGTGAGCACCCTGTGGAGGATCCCGTGGTAGGAGGATCCTACCCTGTGGAGGATTCCACTGGTAAGAAACAGTGTAGTGGTGTTTGCAGCCTTTCATGCTAAACATTAGAGACATCATCTGGACAGTCTGGTTTGCTATGGTTGTATTTCCGTTCAGCCATGCGGCGTGCCAGTTTGTACGTGCTATAGCGATACCTGCTCATTGACAAATTTTGTCCTGGGCTGGGACAAGTCATCTTAAAACTGGAGTGGGAACTTTCACCATCATCAAACCTGACCGAGCATCTTGCCCCTACGCCAAGTTTTTATTGTCATCTTACAGCTTATACCTGATCTGAACATGGTAGCTAATCAGCTTATCTGGAGTTACAGCAGGTGAGATATGTTATATTTTAAAGTTAGCTGTGCTGCTTTAAATGAAGTGATTAAGGAAAAAAAAGGCGAACTCCCAACAATACTAACCTGACCTTTCAGTGAAATGCATGTTATTAATGTATTTAATGAGATGCATTACAAACTGCACCGAGCACCATGTTTCATTACAGGTCTAAAATGCAGTATCATTAAAGACCTTTAACAGAAACAGTGGTTGACATTTTGATATTTCCCATAAGCAAAATACATCCAGGAACATGGAGTATAATACTGTACACAGTACAGCAGAGACGTTAATCTTTCAGTTGTCCAGAACGCTAAAGGAAAACCCACTGTTAATAACTGCTCAGTGATTCCTTCCCCAGCCTCTTTTCATAATCTGGGCAGGAAATTTGCAGTAGTGTACTCTGATGTTCCTGATAACCGGGTTCGTCTTCTGTATGTCATCTGTGAAGACAGCAAGAAAATAAAGCTGGAGTGACTTGGGTGAAGTTAGCAGAGGAAGCACTCAGACTGGCAGGTGGAAGTAATGAATTCAGGACTAGATGATGTTAAAGGTCCCTTCCAACCCAAACTATTCTATGATTCTGTTCTGGTCCTGCTATACTGGTTTAGTGTTTTCCAGTGTTATATTCCTTTTTTAATTTCTTTTTTTTTTTTTTAAATAAAACCTGTAATTGCACAGTAAAGTAGGTTACGATAAAAAGTAATTTTTTACAAGCTGCACTATTGTCCAATGCAGCTATCCTTCCCTGCTCTGCAAAGATGCTCTTTCCAGAAGCTACAAAGTGCCAACCATAAAATAAGGAGTAAAATTATACATGAAGATCTTATGAAAGACGAGGGATGTAGTTGGTGTTACGTGGCAAAGACCCATTTCTTTCTCAGCTGTGCTGGGCCCTGTGAGAGGAATTCATTTCTAATCAACAGCCAGAGGTTTACTGTAGTGGGCAGTCTGAGCTGTGTTGTATCTTCACTCATGGAGCTTCTGCCTGGATAACAGGGCCGTGACCTGTCAGTTCAGGAGGTGAAACTAAATCTTTTCTGAAAATATACATCATAATATTTTTAAAGCTCTTTCATTAATTGATGCACCTTGATTTATGAGGGGGAAAAAAAATCTCACTATAAATCAGCTTCCAATAAAGGTCTTAATTTTTAGCTGATCAAGTGGTTTAGTGGCTTCTATAAAAATAAACTTTTTTACTCGATTCTGAACAGTGATGTAGTGGGCTGGGTAAACATATCTGTACTCCTCAGTTCTCATCCCAGTTGTGTTACCAGCTTATGGGTAGGGTCCCATTCCCCAAACAGGAAGAATTAGAAGAATTGTGCATGAGAAAGTTTAAAGATGAGTGGAAGACAGGACTTTGTAAATAATAAATGTTGAGGTGGTTCCACTGTACGTGACGCACTTCAGTCTTGGACGGGATTTAGGATAATCATGACATTGACACTGTTTTGGGCTGGATGGTACTCTCCTTTCAGGGAAGCCTCGGCACTTCTTTCCAAATCCACAAAATAAATTTGGCGTGCTTTCATCATCTTCATTGAATAGGAGGAAATGATATGGTGTTCAAGTTGCGCAAAGTAGTCGGTGACAAAAATCCAGACTCTTGGTGTACACTGTAGCTTGCTGAGGGCATGAGGGCAGAGAGAGCTCTTAGCATCCAGCGCGCTCTGGCTGCCCCAGAATGCTTTCAGTCATTTGTCCCAAGTCCTTCCATTGCTCATGAAATTTCTGCTCTGTGCTCACAGGAACGATGATTTTTTTGAAATGGAAAACAGTCCTTCATGTATTTGCCTCTTTAGTATCTCCCACTTGTGGCAACCTTCTGTGCAGCTGTTGGTGGTAGCAAAATTCCCTAAGGGTTTGAGTATAATTGTGTTAACGAGTGGATAGCAATGCTCTATACATTTACAGTTTTAAAGCCAAATCTGAGTGAAAGTGGTAAGGTCATGCTTGTTTTCCAGATTTTGAGATTGGAGGTTACAAAACCTCAAGTGTTTTATTTATTGTTTTTGTAATCTTTTGTGAAATTTTTTTTTTTAAATGATACAATGTGCTTTGGACAGTCTTGGATTTCTGAGATCTCAGGTTCTGGTGGATGATTTACTGCAAAATTGCTTATAAATTGAAGTAGAAAATGTTTTGCAGACCTGGCAGCTTTCAGGCTTCACACCCATTTGTCACCCAGCATTTCCCTTTGTGTATAGAACAAGAATTAATTAGGCTGCACTGCAGGAAAAGTTTATGGCCATAATTTATATAGGATGAATTTCTGTTTAAAGGGACAGCATTGCTTTGTTTGCACTGTCTTACTTTTTCTTTCCCTTTTTTTAAATCTTTAATTATATTCCAGATTTTTTTCTGTCACTCTTTTTACATACAAATTGGAGATCAAACTGTGGTCATGGAGCTCATGTTTATTCCTGTTTTGCATCCATGGAGAAAATCCGAGTGGTTTGTAATGCTGAAATCACAGTGGCTGCGCTCTGAATGCGGTGCAAATGTCTAATGTTTAATGCACTGCACATGTCAACTCCCACAGCTTACGTTTCTGAGGTGCTGCTGCCTGGAGTGGTCTGTTTCTCCAAGATACATTTGTATTCTCTTGCACCGTATCTTCCAGACTAGTCCAGGGCTTGAGATGTTGCCTCTGTTTGGGGTCTTGCACGTTCAATTAATGTTTTTCATAATCAATGCAAGTCAGAATTTGCAATCTGCTCCTGATTTGCACATTAAAGAGACCCATTAATTAAAAATTCCAATCCCTGGCATGTTCCCGCAGGATCCTTGCATTATTTACATAGAAAAAGAGTGCAAGGTGCAAGTTTCTGTGCTGTGTCTCTGCACAGATTGCATGCCTGCCATTCATATTTCTATGTATGTTTTCAAGGGGCAGGAAGGTTAGAAGTGGATCTCATGAAAATGTCACCAAAAATTACCTCAAGGGCAAGAAAGAACCAAAGAAGAGGTGGAAGCAACATTAGTGAAGCCAGATCCAGTGTCAGGAATCAAACAGTTCCTAGGTTTGGGGCTTGTTATGTTAAATCTTGGTTCAGTGACAAGAAAACAACAACTAGTTGCGGGGCAGGGGGGCAACAAGAGCCTTAAGAAATTTTATCCCTCAGTCAACAAAGGTGAGAAGCTGTTGTATGTGTCCTGGGTAGCTGGGCTTCCCAATGTGGTCATGTAGCTCTGTTCTTGCTATTTTAATTACTTTCTCTTTATAAGTCTCGTTAAAAATACTAAGCTGGGGATGTTTCAGTGACTAGTACTTTATGCTCCACAAAAAGAGTTGGGAATTCTAGCTTTTAAATAGTATAATGTGCTCTTTTCAGTTTTTAGTTGGTGACACGAGGAGTTAAAAACATACAGAAACCCAGGTGAGGCTCTTGCAGAAGGCAAGATGCTGATGGAAATTTTAAGACTTTAAATGGACAACTAGTTGTGTATGTTTTCATATGTATATGCTTTCACTTTC